GTCTCTGCTGCAGTGAATAGCGGCTAGCGATGCCGCTACACACCCCACGGCCCAGGACAGCCGCACAGCGGAGAACACCCCGGCAGAAAACAGTCAAGAAACTCTGTCTTCAAAAGTTCAATGGCTGAGAGATAATTAACACCAGAACTTGAAGCAAACAGCTCATCTGCAAAACTTAAGCAAAGAAAATCCTCCTCGTTCAAAACTATACCAAAGGACAAAGCTCTGAATCACCCAGTGACTGTACATCTTCCGGAGAGCTTGAGGGGTGACGGGGGTATTTCCTAGCTGTCGGTTGAGGACAGGTGTCAGACTCGTCTACCAACACGCTGTGAAACGGCTTGGGAAGAATGTGCGCTGATTAGTGTGGGGACGAAAGAATGTTCTTGAACGTTCTCATTCTTAACTCGGTCACAAGGGCTGGCCTGTCACTTCCTACTGGCTCAGGACAGGGGCCAGAGCTGACGGGGACCAGGAAACACTTCCAGGCAGACGGTGTTCTGCCTGAATTTTTCTTCTTCCTGTTCCCACCAAAATCAGTCACCTCCAAGATGCCAGTACGATGGCTTTGGTGTCAGATTCTTACAGCGGAAAAAACCTTCAGTCAACTCTAAGGATGGATTAGTAAACTTCCAAGTGCGTTGGAATCGGGAATCATAGCTTTAATACAGATTGTGACTCAGTGTTATGACTCACCCCTGACGGGGAAAGCAGTCTCGTGGAACAGATTGTTGGAAGCAGTTCTGAGGCTGGGCGGGCCCTGTGGATCCGTGAATGAGGACCTCACACAGAAGGGGGGGCGGCTCGGGGAAGGGGTGCCCCCATTCCCTGTCCCTGAGGAGGGGAACCTCAGGCTGCAGTGAGCAGCCCGGTGCCCTCTGCAGAGCCACCCTGCGTATGGGACGCACCGCAAGCCAAGGTTTCCGGAGGGGCAGGAGGGAGCGCTAGACCCAGAGGCCCACTGAGGGTCACACAACACGCGTGCGTCCCTGTGGCTGGAGGAGTTGGGCGTGACGCCAAGGCCGTGGGCCCTGAGGTTTTACAGAGAACAGCCCCCCCGCCGACCGTGTCCTCATTTCTGCCTGGCGCTTTATTCGTTCCCAAGGCCGCCATGATGAGCTGGTCGGATGGCATCCCTGATTCAGTGGACAAGAACTCGAGCAAACTCCGGGAGGCGGTGAAGGACAGGGAGGCCATGGGGCTGCAAAGAGTCGGACACGCCTGAGCGACTAGCAGCAGCAACAGCAAAGGCCGCCACAGCCAAGAACCAGACACGGGGTGACTTCCCACTGCAGAGGTGCGTCCCCCGACAGGCCTGGAGCTCAGAAGTCTGAGATCACGGTGTGCTGCACGCCCCTGTGGCCTCGGGGGGGGGAGGTCCTCCGCTCCCCCAGCTCCCGGGCCCAGGCTTCCGAGGACTGAAGCCGCGTCACCCCCGCTCTGCCGCCCGCTTCACTTGGCCTCCCGCCCTCTGCGTCTGATGTCCTCCTCTTCTTACGGGGACATCAGCCATCGGACCGAGGGCCACCCCAGCCCAGGACCATCTCCTCTCAAGAGCCTCAGCACACACCCTGATTCGGACATCCTGAGGTTCGGGGTGGACAGGAAGCCGGGCAACCCTGCTCAGCCCACGGCAGTCATGTGATCAAAGTTCTGCCTCCTTGAGGTGAATGGGAAAAACGGCTTCCTCTCCCTCCCTGGTCGTCCCTCCCCAGAGAGGACAGACTCACGGGCCTCCCTCCCCAGGACCGGCTACGGCGCTCTGGCCGGCCTGTGACTCAGCCCACCTTCGTGCAGGCTGGGGCGCAGGTCCAAGCTCTGCTCTCAAGTCCGGCTTGACCAGAAATACAATCTGTCCAGCTCCTAAGCACCCGCCTCAGTCTGGGGGCCTAGGGGGAGGATGTGACCTCGGCACCAGGATCCCCAACATCAGCGGCTGTCGTAGGAGGGCGCGGGGCAAGCTCCAGGGACTCACAGCCAACCCAGCAGGCAGGACGCTGTGGCCCCAAAGGGAGAATTCCAGAGGCCCGCAGGCCCGACGCACCCTTGGACACCATCCCCCAGGAGCAGAGCTCTGAGGGTGCGACCAGGCTCCAGGGCCTGAGTCACCATCCTAACAGGCGGCCCGGAGGCCCCCCCGGGGCGGGAGGACCAGTGAGGTGGGGGGCGAGCTGGAAGCCCCTCCAGTCACCGCTGCCCTGATAGTTCTCATTCAAGTCCCGTCGGGGGTGTGGGGGAAGAGCCAGCTTGAGTCGGGTTGGGACGACTGGCTGGGGAGCCGCTTTGGGTGGGTGGGGGTGAGGGGCAGCCACCCTTGACCTCCGACACTCTCCAGGCCAGGCCTGCGGGGCGGGGCCAGTCCCAAGCGGGCCCTGCTGGTGGCTCATCCCCCCGGGCAAGGCAGGGGCTCGCCCCCAGGCACCAGTGAGGAGCCCGCATCCCAGGCCGCCACAGCCACTGGGCCCTGGGCAGGCGGTGCCCGCAGCCATCTGACCCCGCGGGGGCGTCTGAGCGCGGGACTCTGCGGAGAAGCCAGAGTTTAAAATAAAACAGCATGTGACAGGACGTTCCAGCTGGGAGAAGACTCGAGTTTCGAGGTCACTGGTTCAGATCAGGGGACAGCTGGGCCTGTGAGATCTGGGTGATCCGTGAGCGAGCTGGGGTTTCTGCCGCTTCCCGTAGGCCAGCTGTGTCCCTCCGGCTGCCCGCTCAACAGGGAAGGCCGGGCCTCCGGGAGCAAGCTCTCTGCCCGTTCCAACAGGGTGATGCCTGGTGCCATCCAGGCCAACGAGCACGGCGTGGGGTCTGTCGTTCGGCAGACGGACTCTTGTCAGAGAAACAACCGTTAAAAGCAGGGCAAAGGGCTGGGGGAGAGGCTGGGGAAGAGGGGGTGATTTCACGGCGGCGCCCCCTGAGGAGTCACCTGCAGGCTGGGCACAGGATGCGCGTCTCGGGAGCAGGCCCCGAGTGCTCTGGGGTTAGAGCTTTGATGCAGAGAACTTTAAAAAGTGACCATCAAGAGAGGACTAGACATTTAAACTTTAACACTCTGAAAATCAAACCCAGGGCTTCCCTGGTGGCTCAGAGGTAAAGAATCCACCTGCCGATGCAGGAGACATGGGTTCGAGCCTGGTCGGCAGAGAGCTCACGTGCTGCGGAGCAGCTAAGCCCATGGGCCACAGCTACCGAGCCCACACGCCCTGGAGCAAGAGGCGCGGCTGCAATGAGAAGCCCTCACCACCACAACCAGAGTGTAGCCCCCGTTCACGGCAACTGCAGAGAAGCCCGCAGAGCAGCAAAGGGCCAGTGCAGCCGATGAGGAGATAAGGAAAATTATTTCTTTAAAAAATCAAACGTACTGCCAAAGGTGAATGATTTCCATTCATTTGGTCTAATCAATGATTCTAATTCTGGAGTTCTAATTTGTGTTCATCTCCAGAAGCCAACATCAGTCGCTTTACAAAGAACAGGACTTTGTCTTGGGGCCACGGTTGTCATCTGTGTGCAGGGGAAGGCTGGGGGGAAGACGCAAAGAATGTCAAAGCAGCATCTGCAAGAAGGCCTGGTTCTGACAGCAGCAGCATCCGAGGGCGCTCTAGAAAGCCTTTGGAGGCGGGGTGGTGCTCTGAAGGTGGTCCAGGCAGGGGGATGGGTCGGCTCATTTTTCTACCCATCACAGAAAGGGAAAAGCAGAGGCTAACAATGATGGCACCTAATCAGGTCTGTGCTGGGCGGCACAAATGTCCTCTCGGTGGCCTGGACTCTGTCCAGAGGGCACGCTGCCCCCAGAAATCTCGGTCACCCCTGTGCCCTGGGAGCCAGGCAAGGAGGGAACCCCGGAGTCGGAGAGGCCATCCCGCCAGCTGGAGGCAGCTGGGCTGAGACACCAGTGGCAGGAACCCAGGCGGCACCGAACCTGCATCAAGGCGGCAGTCTCAACATCCCTGGGGCACAGGAGGAATCTAGCCCCAATTTCATCTAGAAAAACCCAGCCTAATTGAGCTGGCCTCCAGAGCACAGATGGGAAAGCAACTTCTTCTAGATCAGGAAGGTGGGAGCCGGCAGAGCGGGTCCAAAGCTTTTTGTCAAAGAAAAGGAACAGCCTTGGTGAGAAGCAGGCAGACAGAGACAGTGGCGGGACGGACCATGGACCCTGAGCTGATGAAAAGGGGCAAAAGTAGGAATCAGTAGTGTTAACACGGACCTGAAAAGAGACCACGCCCCCGCCTGTCCCACCCCGCGCCGGCTGTATCAGAGAGCGCGTTTCTTGTGCACGTGGTTACACACCGGCGCAGTAATAGTATTTGTTTCAGAAGACGGTATTTTCTTTATTCTTCCTGCCACCAAAGCCGGATTCTAAACGTCAGGAGCCTGTACGCTTCTGTCGCTTTTCCTGTGCTGTTATTAAGTTGAGGTTGACCCTCCCCGGAGCCCTTGACAACCTCAGAGAGACCACCCAGGCTGGGAGCAGAGGGAGCCGAGCCCTGCAGAGTTCTAACTGCAGAGGCACACAATTATTTTATTTACCATCCTGCAGCTTTTTCACACATTTTATAAAATCCGAAAAAGTCGCTGAATGGTAATGGATGGCTTCTTTTATCTTGTTTTATCTTGTTTCTATATCAGTGTTGTTGCTGCTTAGTCGTTAAGTCGTGTCTGACTTTTTGTGACCCCGTGGACTGCAACCTACCAGGCTCCTCTGTCCATGGAATTTCCCAGGCAAGGATACTGGAGCAAGTAGCCATTTCCTTCTTCAGGGGATCTTGCCAACCTGGAGACTGAACTTGCATCCTCCTATATTGCAGGCAGATTTTTCGCTACTTCACCAGGGAAGCCTGCCTATTAAGTCAGCAAACTAGTAAACATACACTGAAATGCCTCGCTGTGTCTTAACTCACTTCACAAGGATACTCTGTGTTTCCTGCTCCCTGGGAAGCACAGATGTCTGAAATCTTTGTCAAACACTCTTTTGCATACGGTTCAGTGGCAGGTTGTAATTTCTAAGAATAGCCACAGTATCTCTCATCCCAATGGTTTTTTTTTTTTTTTTTCCAAACTGTGACCTCAATGCTCTTCTCTCCAGTCAGCCATTTTCTGCACTTGACTCTGGGCCGACTTTGTGACGTGCTGACCAGCAGAGCGTGGCTGGATTGATGTGAGGTGACCTCCGAGGCTAGGTGATGCTGTAAAAATGTCCTGCATTTTGGCCCAGTTCTTCTGAGGCATCTGCTCTGGACGCCCAGCCACCGCGCCCCGAGAAAGCCCAGGCGGGCCTGCTGTGTCTGACATCGTTCCTGAGGCTCTTTTGCATCCAGCCTGCGTCTCACCCTGACTTGAGCCATGAACCTCTCTATCCGGGGATGTGGTTGTACTAACTATTTCTCCAGTCACAAGAGGGTTATTTCCTATTTCTCCCAGTGTTATTTAGTCATTTCAGACCATCTTTAGCTACATTTCTGCAAGTTCAAGTCAGTGGGAGACACAGGAAAGGAAAAGAATTTGGCCTGGTTGGATCGCTATTGCTTGACAACAGGAGAAAGAATTGGTAATTTTTACAATTATCTTTCTAATCAAAATTTAACTATACGAGCAATACAAGTGCGTTTTGAACAGTTCCAGAAAGCTAACAAGTAATAATAAACAACAGCCGTACCTCCCCCTACTCCCTAACCCTGCTATTCTCATCAATTTGCTATGCTTTTTTCAGATTTTTTATACATTTGCAAGCATGCATTCTCAGAGAAAATGCAAAGTAGAATTAAAATATGGAGTGTCATTTTGTATGTTTTTTTAACCATAAACTTAATGATATGTTCAAAAACAGCTCTGCAATGTCCCTTTGTATTTATTTTTTAACTGCACACTTGAATCCCTGCACCCATGAGATCGTCACTGCTTTAGCAGCACTTTCTCCTGTTTAAAGGGTTAGAGTTTTAATATCTTCATATTTTATGTGATGGAGTTTGTGCTTCTGTTTCTTATGCTCCTGTCAACTTTGGGTCCATTTCTGGGCAATTAAAAGAAAACACCTCACTTCATTACATCCCCCCCACAGAGACATCTTTTGTATATACAAAATTACTTTGTATATCTTGGGTGTTTTATGGTGATATCCCTCACCTGGTATAGCTTTTGCTATAATGTGAAGAATATTTTTATCACATCTTATAGTTGGATGTTACTAAGATATAGAAAAGCTATTTACTTCATTTTATTACAATTATAAACTTGAAGTTTAAGGGTTAATCGTAAATGGGGTTGAAGATTAGATAGGGGTAATTTTAAGGAATGTGTTACTGCACAACATATAATGCATCAACACTGCTTTCCTGACTCTGATAGTATTTTAGAGTCATGTGGGAATTGTTTGTAAAAAAAAAAAAAAATACATGATGAAGCACATTAGAGTGATGGAGTATCACAACCTCAACTTACTCTCAAACGGTTCAGGAAAAAATGCTTTATTGTACTACTACTGCAGTCTTTATGTAAATTTAAGGTTTTTTCTTGTTAATTTAAAAAAAATCATTGGAGTTGCCTGCTTCTAAGGGAGTGAAAACTTAAACAGGGGCTAGGAATGCATGTGTTTAGCCAACAGGCTGTGAATGTACCTGCAAAGTTGGCCAGTTCAGAAAAGAGGCACGGCAGCTGAGGAGCAGTTTGCCAAGTTAACACCCTCCATACAACACCCTGGGCTTCCCTGGAGGCTCAGCGGCAAAGAACCTGCCTGCCACGGCAGGAGACCTGGGTTCGATGCCTGGGACAGGAAGATGCCCTGGAGAAGGGAATGGCAACCCACTCCAGTGTTCTTGCCTGGAGAATCCCATGGACAGAGGAGCCCGGCGGGCTGCAGTCCATGGGGTCGCCGAGTCGGACACGACTTAGCGTCTAAACAGCAACGACAGGACAACCGAACCGTCTACACAAGCCTGTCGGCCTCAGGCAGCGGCACGCTCCTCCCCATAAAGTCACGGCCTCTCATCTCCTTCTGTCATGGCGGCTTTTTTCCATTTGACTTTCTGGAAGTTTTAATCCCACGCTCAGCCGCTGCCAAGTGACAGGATCATGTCTCGACCTCAGCTGGACTTTTTTTAAAAAAACTGTTTACAAATGCTCTTCCGGGGCAGGGGTTGGTCGAGTTGCTTTTTGGGCCCCTTCCAGTTCTGTGATCCTGGGCCTGACGGCAGGCAAGGAGCACAGGGCGCCCGGGGACACGGGCTCCGGCCCTTGCCCCACCGTCTCTGGGCCAGGGCGCCCGCACCTCCACCAGCTCAGCCTTCCGGGCGGTGGGTCTGAAGGAAGCTTTTAAATAGCAGCAGCCGTTGCTTCTCAGGGACGTTTCTGGGAACAGAACTGCTGAGTTCAAGCCACGCTTTGGGGTTATCTGCAAGAAGACTCTGAAGACACATCAAACGTCCGTCTCCTCAACCAGTTCAGTTACATGTTCAGAATTTTCTGTCGCTCACACACACTGAGAGATTGAACAGATGAGCAACGGCTGGAACATACATTAAACACAGAACCTCAGCCCATAGACTGCAGCAGCGCCCGGGACACAACGCCTCAGCCATGCACGGGCTCCCGGGAGACTGCCAACTTTTGTGCCTGCTCGAAGCTTAGGACCCACTGAGGCTCCTCTAGCCCGGCGTCTTTCCACTTCAGATTAGACTGCCAACTTTTGTGCCTGCTCGAAGCTTAGGACCCACTGAGGCTCCTCTAGCCCGGCGTCTTTCCACTTCAGATTAGCTGCCCTCCAGGTGACCCGGGGTGACCGGCTGTCCCACAGGCCCCGAGAGCCTCCTCCAGGCCCCCGAGGGCGACGGTGAAAGGGCCACCCGGCTCCCTAAGGCCCCACAGGCCCGGGAGAGCTGAGCAGACTGAGGCAGGCACAGGAGTCGCCCAGGAGGTCACCCCGTGCCCGGCTGGCCCTGCCCCCGTCACCTCGCTGATGTCCCTCCCCGGCTCAGCAAGGCAGCACTTGTCACCACTTTACAGGCAGGAGAACGGAGGCTGAGGGGAGCTCACAGCCCCATCAGTCACAGAGGAGTTCCCGCGCCCTGGCCACCCTCGTGGGCCTCCCTCACCTCGCCTGCGGAACCTCTGTGTCCAGCCGGGGCTGCGTCCCCACCCCCAGGGCTCAGCCTGTAATCGGGACCCCGCTCAGAAGGGGCAGGTATATGTGCTGGACACCGGAGACCCACACCTCCGAGCCCTCTGCTCACGTGGCCAGGAAGCCAATCGGGAGAAGGAGGTGGGATGCAGAGTGCGTGGCCTGCACACCAACTGTGCCCCTGCACTCACAGGTGAGTGGGGTGGACGTCACCTCCTCCTTCCTCCCAACGCTCCTGCCGAGACTCCCGCCTCGAGAGCCCGCCCCAGTGGTCCACAGCTGGCACCACTGCCCCCCGCGGACGCCTGGCAGACACAGCAGGTTCAGTTCAGTTCAGTTCAGTCGCTCAGTCGTGTCCGACTCTTTGCGACCCCATGGACTGCAGCACGCCAGGCCTCCCTGTCCATCACCAACTCCCGGAGTTTACCCAAACTCAGGCCCATCGAGTCGGTGATGCCATCCAGCCATCTCATCCTCTGTCGTCCCCTTCTCCTCCTGCCCCTAATCACTCCCAGCATCAGGGTCTTTTCCAATGAGTCAGCACTTCGCATGAGGTGGCCAAAGTACTGAAGTTTCAGCTTCAGCATCAGTCCTTCCAATGAACACCCAGGACTGATCTCCTTTAGGATGGACTGGTTGGATCTCCTTGCAGTCCAAGGGACTCTCAAGAGTCTTCTCCAACACCACAATTCAAAAGCATCAATTCTTCGGCGCTCAGCTTTCTTTATAGTCCAACTCTCACATCCATACATGACCACTGGAAAAACCAGAGACTTGACCAGACGGACCTTTGTTGACAAAGTAATGTCTCTGCTTTTTCTTATGCTGTCTAGGTTGGTCATAGCTTTTCTTCCAAGGAACAAGCGTCTTTTAATTTCATGGCTGTGGTCACTATCTGCAGTAATTTTGGAGCCCCCCAAAATAAAATCTCTCACTGTTTCCATTGTTTCACCATCTATTTGCCATGAAGTGATGGGACCGGATGCCGTGATCTTAGTTTTCTGAACGTTGAGTTTTCAGCCAACTTTTTCACCCTCCTCTTCGACTTTCATCACAACAGGTTAAGCTAGTATTAAAGTGCAATATTGTTTTTCTCCCAAATGTTACTAGATGTTTGGAATTACTAATAAGTGTGGAACATATTACATAGAAAATATAAAGAAGTTGGAATTCTAAATTTAATTTTTAAAAAATTGGGGTGTAAAAAATACCTTTTAATATTTATTCATTATTTCTCCTTCAAAGTACAGGTTAGAAAAAAAAAGCTGTGGTAATAGCTTTATAGAGGTTTTTAAAGCCTAAGAGTGGAGTTGCAAAGAAGTGATTTTAATTTAAATGTTATATAATCATCTACTTAATGACGCTTTTAAAAATTTCCATCCTTTTCCTTATTCCCAGTTAATGGCATAGAAGTTAAATTTAGTAATGAGTTTTTCTATTAAAAAAACTCAATTCATCACAGGCAGGAAAGAAAGATGATTTTCCTTCTCGTGAATCTACTTAAAAGAATGGCTTGTCATCCTAGCTAATTACCCACAGAGTTCATTCATTCAGTCCTTCCCGCCTTCCTTAAACCAAAAGTACACCGGGTTTTGGGCTTCCCAAGTGGGGCTACTGCTGAAAGCCCAGACTGTCAATGCAGGAGCACGGCAGACACAGGTTCAACCTCTGGGTCGGGAAGATTCCCTGAAATAGGAAATGGCAACCCACGCCAGTATTCTTGCCTGGAAAATCCCATGGATGGAGGGGCCTGGCAAGCTGCAGTCTATAGGGTCACAAGGAGTCGGACACGACTGAGCATTCTGCTGCCCTGAGGGTTTTTGTTTGTTTTCTAGATTTTTTTTTTTTTTTTTTTTGTGGACCATTTTAAAAGTCTTCGTTGAATTTGTTGCCATATTGCTTCTGTTTTATGTTTTGATTTTTGGGCCACGAGACATCAGGAAGTCCCAACAAATAGTTTAAAAGAAGTTTCCATTAGAAAGACATTTTTATCAAAACAATGATTACATGAATCAAAGATGTTCAGAAAACGGAGTCTTAAATCTTCACTTTAAAGTATCTGTGGACTAAATCTTACACTCGCAGTCCATCCACCCAGGCCTCTCTTCAACAATTGTGTTAGCTGTAACTTAATCAGAAATGTAGGAACCACTTTGTGAACTTTGGCAGACTCGCTTGTGCAAAGCCAGGCAAGCCACCCTCAGCATACCAACCTCTCCAAGCTGAGACCGC